GAGACATCATCGTTAGTGTGCTCTCAAATTGCATTACGTGCACGCATATATATGACATGTGATTTGCAAAGTGTGACCTGTGCACCTACATATGTGACCTCGTGACCTGTGAGGTGCAAACAGATTTGTGACCCGTGACTTGTTCAGGGAGGGAGGGTGTGGGAAAAGAGAGAGAGATATGGAAGAAAAATGAATAATAAAATGAGAAAAAATTGTACATACCGCATCCTGATCATTTCTGGCATTTGTCATCTCGACATCTTTAGCATCACCTTCAGTCTGTTTTACCACGTCAGCTATAACATCATCAACATGCTTTTGTACTTCTTTAGATTTGAATATGTTAGTGAGGTTCACAGCGCTCGAGGTGATTGGAGTTGATGATATCCTCAAATGATTTTATTATTCCTATCCACCTACAATGATATGAACTGTGACTTGACATCTTTGAGCTGCGCCGTTAGTTTTGCATTCTTCAACTGGATTTCAGTTATTTGCCCACTCAAATCCTTCAACTGGTCAAGCACCTGTGATTGGACCTTATACAAACACTTAATGGACTTATGTATGTGACATATGGTATTTAATATGTGACAAATGCTTTTGTGACTTGTAAAAAGTAAATATGAATCAACTTACATCTGATTGTGGTCCACTATATACATGTGTTGCCATCGGCTCCTTCGGGTATGAATGTCACTTCTCTGTGGCTCCATATGATAATTTTTATGTGTTGCTTGCGGCTCACTTGGTGTATGAATGTCACTTGCCTGTGGTTTTGCCGAATAATTTTCATTCGTTGTTTGCCGTTCATTTGAGGGGGTGAAATAAGATGAGGTCTTTGCCTTTTTGGTGGTGTATCAACAAAATCATCACCATCGTCGTCAACATCACTAGAATGACCTTTTCGTCCATTTGTGATCATTAGCAACCGTGTTCCACTCGTATCGCATGACCTACATCCTTGACGTGTCCATCTCCAGGTATACTGGTTGCACTAGTTTGGTGTATGGAACACCACTCATATATGAAGACTCCATCTCCAAGTCAGGTGGGACAACATCATATATTTCAACCTGTAACAATAATACAAATGAAACAATTTTTTGTCATGTAATCATACATGGAGTATCATTATTTGTGACCTGAATTTATTCAAACTGGTTAATGTTGTGAGACAATGACTGTGGTCTGTGAATGCATATCAGAGGAATTGTGACATATGCACACAAATATGTGAATTGTGACTTATGCACACAAATATGTGACATTGTGACATGTGCAAACAAAACATATTTAAATACTTACATCACGATAGGAGAATACATCTTCATCCAATTTCACTGCAGACGGTGTTTATTCGATATCCAATTCACAATGCATGGGAAACCGTTCCTCATTCTATTGGTCACGGTCCATTGAGTCTTGAAATGGACTCGTATATCCAAACTTGAAATGCAACCAAAAACCCCTCCAGTCTATAATGTGGATTCATGTGACCTAAACCCTCTTTCAAAGATTTTATAGACATTTCAAACAAATCTTTACCCCAAGGAAACATCTCCATTAAATCAAAATTTTCTACTAAAGCAAACAAATAGATTTCAACCACTTTCTTGTATGATGTGGAAAACAGGTACGAGGTAATCAAATATAGAATCCCAAACCTCACAACATCATGATCATCTATGTTTGACACATTCACAAAGACATCTCTAACATCTTCATTTGTAACAAACTTCAAGTCCCCAAAGTATAATCCCTTGATCCTAGATTGAACATTGTCAATCACTTTCCTAACATCATCAACATTGTATCTAAGACATGTCACTAAACAAAACTCATACAACGAAAATCTCATAAATCTATTCGCAACCTTGAACCACATCTCATTGGGATTCGGCTGCTTCACTTCTCTGATAAAAAAGTAATGTATTAGTTGGGGCTGCAGTACAATCTTATTGCATTCCATGAAGAAAGAGAAACATGTTTTGGCCAGGATAGCCCTTTGTTCTTCATCGAATTTCGATGTGAAATTTGTCAGAACATTTTTGGCAACATTGGTGGTAATTTTCCCCAGAAAACCATAGATCTTCGGGTATAATGTACTTCCAATCCTGCAACACATTAGATAAATTATGACCACTCTATGAAACCATTACACAGACATTTCACACGCACACCAAAACTCAGAATCTTGGTCGAAATCAACCATTCACAAATTCTATTCAATACATGTTATTCACAAACTCCAACCAGAATACATAGAAATGAAAAACCCAATCTTATGATACAAACACATTATTTCGCAATCAAACCTTTATGCTACAAATGGAACAAATAACTGTGACCCGACTGATACTGTTATATTCAAATAGAAGAATTAGGTCACAAGTTGAAAATGGTAGGTCACAAATGAACATCCAATAATAACAAAGTACCTCAAATTAATTTACATTCTTCAATTTCAATTTTCTGGGCATTTCTTCACAGAATCCCTTTTTTACTTTCGGCCATGATTCAGCCGGCGTTTTGGGGATTTCTTTACGAACTCCTTTTGACACAAGCGACCTTCTTCCCTTTCCTTGTGCAGTTCCGTGTGCATCCTCAGCTCCGGATTGTGCCTTCTGGTCACAACTTCTTGTTAACGTCATTTCCTCTATTTTCCGATCACAAGCCTCCGTCACCACCTTCGTTTTGCACACCCTTTTTCTTGCACCCACTTTTCCTTAGCACCGCCATTACCTCTTCCTTGAACAATGTAGGTATTTAGTCAAGAATCAATTTGGGCTTTTTGGATTGAGGGACGGTTGATTATAAGCGGTTTTGTTTTTTTATTTTTTGAATTGAGGCGAGGTTTGGAGATTAAGCGGTTATTAGAGATATTCTTTACTTATTTAAACCGACATCTCTCTCCATTTTTAACGTAAATGGTGGTAGTGGTTAGTATAATTAAAAATTGATTTAAATAATTCAAAGAAACCTGATTTATGTATTATTAAAATTGATTCTGGATTTATGAAAATGCTATCTTAAAAGACCGTCACGGTGTAATTTCCTCTATTTTAAATGCACTAAATATTTATAAACTTTCCTCATTTTCGTACTTATGTCACTAATTTTTTTCATTGCATTTTTATCATTAACCTTCTACTATTTCATACATCTTGTTTCTGATGATGGTTTACATTCAAAAAAATCGCTATGAGGGCATAACACGAGTTATTTGCCTCACATATTTTAAAATATGCAAAATACATCACAAATTCAAAAGTTTAATAAAATATTTTCTTCTCGTTTCAATGCACCTTAGCATAATATTTAGATAGAAATCATTATTAGAAATAGGATATAATAATTAATTGAAGGTTAATGATAAGAATGAGACCCAAAAAAATTGGGAACGTGCAAAATGAGATCTTCATTACAATTAAAATGTGATGCAACTATAATTATCCTTTCACGATTGCATGTCATTTGAATATGGAGAGATTTATAAACTTTTATAAAAAGCATATAAGTTTTCAATCATTTTATTTGACTTTGGTCCTTTAGCTTTCATAATTTTGATGTTCTTTTGTCTCCATGTGATAAAAACTAGCAATTTTTCCATCGAACTATCACAAGCTTTGCCAGTAACACCCTATTGCAATTTGCAATTATTTTTGTCTAACTAAAATCATTTTTCTTAAAAACTATGTAAAAACTTAAAAGACTTAAAGCTTGCATACATTAAGACACATCAAGATTCACGTAAGAATATCAAAGTAACATATCGCGAAAATAATTAAAAAAAAAAAAACAATTCTATATCAAACACATATCACGTCATTGGTTCAAGAACTAATTTTTTTAAAGGATATGCTAGCAAGGTGAAGAAAGGTAGGGGAAAACAATTTTAACGACTTTTGAAGCATGGAATGCTTTTAAAAAGCAAAAAAAATCATAGCGTATAAGATGAGATTACACTGCATTATATTTTACAAGTAATGTATGTGATATAAGAGTATCATCTAATATTTAAATAAAAAGATAATGGAAATTTGTTGTTTTTTATTATTATGGGCATTTTGGCCTGTTTAACTATTTATAATGACAAATTTATAATTTTTTTAAGAAAAGTTGTTTTATTTTACCATTTGTAAAATCTAAAAAATAAATGTAAATATACGCTATACAGATTGTGTATTCTATAATTTCCCTATAGATTAAGAATTGTTTGGGAAAAAATTATAATGAGATTATATTGAAGAGAAGTAATGTGTGGATAATAATTGGTTAATAGTTGTAAATGTATGGACATAATTAAGCATTTCTTTTTTAAATTTTTTTTGATAAAAGTTAATAAAATATATCATTGAAATTTGTGGATATCATGAAAGGTTTGGTTTAAATTAAGTATTGACTTTAAAATTGGATTTTAATATATTTTTTAATGCAACCACACATGACCTAAATTTTGACTTTGACTTCAAATTGTAAAAAGATTACAATCATGCCAAATGTACATTTTCTTTAATATTGTGTCACATGACAAAATATCATTGAATAGTTTAAAAACAAAAACAATTTTTCCGTCCACAATTTTCAAAAAATAAAGGCAATACCAACAAGAATGAGTATATTTAGCATTAATGAAGAGATAATAATGTAAAGGTAGTTGGTGTTTACTAATTCTTGCAAGAATTAGATGCTCGTCTACTTTTTCTTTCACAAAATGAAGTTTGTAGAAGATAGGTTCATGCACATGTGAAACTTTTAATTGTATAAATCTTGAAAAGGATAAATAACAATGTCTCACCGAATTCCACTTGTTAGAAATTAAATTAATTAATCATACTTGCTTGAAAATAAGTTGATTAATCTATTTCAACTTACATATTTTTGTCCTCGTTCTTAAAATGACGTGTGCACCTATATATACAGCATACCAATCTAATAGTTGTATGCACATTCAATTTTCATATACCCATTGGAAGTTACAAAATTAAGAGGGAGTGATGGGAAAGGTAACGTTTATGTTTTGCACATTGGTTATAGAGATGGCTATACTTTGGGGCTATGCCAACGCACAAGAACAGGTCGGGTTTCAAAATCTCTGCCTAGGAAATGAGAAGACAACTCGCCTTCAAGTTTTTGTGCAGGATGAATTGGGAGGTGAGAACCCAACTGTCTGGGACGTGGCACGTAGCAACATTACATCTACTTCGCCAACATCCTTTGGCCAAGTCAGAGTCCTGGATGATCTATTGACAGACGGACCTGATCGCAACTCAAAAAGAGTGGGCCGAGCTCAGGGGCTTATTACATCTGCTGACTTACAAGTATCAGCCCTCGCAATGAACCTCAACTTTGTATTTACATCAGGACAGTACAATGGAAGTACCCTGTGCATACTGGGGAGGAATCCATTAGAGAACCAATATAGAGAGTTGGCCATTGTTGGAGGCACCGGAGTTTTTCGAATGGCTCGTGGATATGCCATTACCAGCACTTACTCGTATGATGATGAAACGAGTTATGGTGTATTGGAGTACAATATTTATGTTGCTTATATTACCAGCACTTACTCGTATGATGTTGAAACGAGTTATGGTGTTTTGGAGTACAATATTTATGTTGCTTATGTTGATGCATCCAACGAGAACATGCAATCCTTAAATTAAATGTCTTCATTTTCAAGTATTTTACCATGAAAATTATTTATTTCTAAGTCAAAATGATTTTACCTTGCATTCTCAATATTGTTGGACCTGTCAAGGTGGGAGTCAACTTTGTCATTAGAAGTATTTGCACAAAAAAAAAAAGTATTTGTTTAAAGAAGAAGCCTTTGGTTGTCAATAATAGGGATGAGTAATTCTATCCAACACAACTGATGTTAAGCAACAATTTAGGTGACAATTGCGTAATATTAAATGGTAGATTCACTTAAATGCAATGTTATGTGATTTATTTAATTGAACTTATCAAGTGTGGTCACATAGATTGATATTTTATCATAACTGGTGCTTGATAAGATTATTCAAGGAAGATAGATTGCATCAACTTCAAACAAGTTACATAGCTTAGAAATTAAGAAAGACTACAAAATTGTAATAGCAATTGTATTACCAGCACTTACTCGTATGATGCTGAAACGAGTTATGGTGTTTTGGAGTACAATATTTATGTTGCTTATGTTGATGCATCCAATGTGAACATGCAATCCTTAAATTAAATGTCTTCATTTTCAAGTATTTTACCATGAAAATTATTTATTTCTATGTCAAAATGATTTTACCTTGCATTTTCAATATTGTTGGACTTGTCAAGGTGGGTGTCAACTTTGTCATTAGAAGTATTCGCATAAAAAAAAAAAGTATTTGTTTAAAGAAGAAGTCTTTGGTTGTCAATAATAGGGATGAGTAATGCTATCTAACACAACTGATGCTAAGCACCAATTTAGGTGACAATTACATAATATTAAACGGTATATTCACTTAAATGCAATGTTATGTGATTTATTTAATTGAACTTATCAAGTGTGGTCACATAGATTGATGTTTTATCATAACTGGTGCTTGATAAGATTATTCAAGATAGATTGCATCAACTAGAAAGACTACAAAATTGTAATAGCAATTGTCAAAACATAGAATAGAGTTCTACATGCGCGCGCGCACACACGCATATATATATATATATATATATATTCGACATTCCTAGACCTTCATTTATATATGATAAATATTAATAGAAAATTGGTTAGTCGATACTTGTATGGTTAAGACCTATAATATAGAATATATAAGTTGGATCTTATCATAGGAATCAATTTAACATTGAGCTGATATCTTGAGCTAAGCGTGTAACATCATCTACTTCATACATTGCAGTTGGATTATCAAGACTAAAATGTTGCTCGAGGTTTGACACGTGTACTTCTCGGGAGAACATGACTTTTTTATTTCAACGAGTAGATAAATAACAAGTCTTTAAAATGTAAGAAATATGATAATTTTTTCTTCTATTTAACAAACCCTTCAAAATAAAATATATAACGAAATTATAGTAAGAATTAAATGCTTATCTACTTTGTCTTTTATAAGATAAAGTTCGCTGACTAATTCCTTGAAAAGGCTAGGCGGTTTATTAGTAAGCATAAATGACAATGTCTTACCTAATCCCACTTGCTCCAAAATAAGTTGATTAATCCATTTCAACTTACACGTTTTTGTCCTCATTTTTACAATGACATGCACATTTTCATACAGGACGAAGTGGGTGATGCGAACCCAACTGTCTGGGAAGTGGCACGAAGCAACATTACCTCTACTTCGCCAACATCCTTTGGCCAAGTCAGAGTCTTGGATAACCTATTAACAGTCGGGCCCGATCGGAACTCTCAGAGAGTGGGCCGGGCTCAGGGACTTATTGCATTTGCTGACTTGCAAGAATCAACCCTGACAATGAACCTCAATTTTGTATTTACATCAGGGCAGTACAATGGAAGTACCCTGTGCATGCTGGGGAGGAATCCATTGGGGAACCAATATAGAGAGTTGGCCATTGTTGGAGGCACCGGAGTTTTTTGAATGGCCCGTGGATATAACATTACCAACACTTACTCCTATGATGTTGAAACAAGTTATGGTCTTCTGGAGTACAATATTTATGTTGATGCATCTAGAGTGGATCAGTGAACATGTAATCCTTAAATTAATGTACTTGTTTTCAAGTATTTTACTATGAATAAAATTATTTATTTCTAAGTCAAAATGATTTTATCCTGGCATTAGCAATATTCTTGGACTGGTCAAGGCAGAAGCTAACTTACAAAATAATAATAATAATAATAATAATAATAATAATAATAATAATAATAATAATAATAATAATAATAATAATA